CATCATCATCATCAAAACAACATCAAACATCACAACATTATTATCAAAACAACATCAAACATCATCATCAAAACAACATCAAACATCACAACATCATCATCAAACAACATCAAACATCACAACATCATCATCAAACAACATCAAACATCACAACATCATCATCATCAAACGTCATCACATCATCAACAACACAACATCAAACATCACAACAACATCATCAAAACAACATCAAACGTCATCATCATCAAAACAGAACAGGAAGAGAAAAAACCCTAACCCACTTCTCATACAATGTAGATAAAAATCGATAGACATAACAAATTAAAACATCATCAACATCAACAAACATCAACTACATCATCAAACATCACCAACATCATAAAAACATCATCAACATCAACAAACATCAACTACATTGAACATCATCGACATCAACAAACATCAACTACATTCAACATCCCCAACATTGAACATCATCGACATCAACTGAGAGCCTCTACACCAACATCAACTGAGAGCCTCCAACATTGAACATCATCAACCTCATCAACAAGAGGGTTCAATCTCGGCCGAGATTACCGGTCTAGACCGGCTCAACTACCTCCGGCTCGATTCAAATCGCTTCAATGGTACGGTTCCGCCTCTGAACCAAACCTCTCTCACGATCTTCAACGTGTCGAATAACAACCTCACCTGAGCGATACCGGTTACGCCAACTCTGTCACAATTCAACATTTCTTGGTTCTTTTGGAACCCTAACCTCTGCGGCGAGATCATCAACAGAGGATGCAGTTCCGCTCCACTGTTCTTCAATTCCTCCTCGATTAGACCCTTTCGTAGACGATCGACGCCAGGGAGGGTGAGGAGGAGGACCATGGCCTCTGCTCCGGCGGCATACCCGAGAACTACCCATTCCAAAGCCATTTCTCTTGTTTGTGATGAGATTTGAAACCGTAGATCTGTTTTTCAAGTTTCTGGTAGAAACAAAGATATTATAGGGGGGTCCTGATGTTTGATGATTTGTTGATGATGTAGTTAATGGGTCTTAACATTCAAATGGGTATATATGTTGCTGATGTTCGATCCTTGTTTGATGACTAATGTTAGTCCTGATGATGATTATTAAATAAACAACATTATCAAAATAAAATGGGATTAAATGGTGAATAAGAAAACTTTTAGGACTAAATTATTTAACTTTTCAGAAAATAGGATTTATGGGTAAATTTTCCTAATTTTTATTCATTACAAAAAAAATATAATATTTTACTTATTATAAAAATATGACTTTACCATTTACAACTTTATGGATGTACACTATAACTTCAATATTCATATAAATGAACACTATAACTTTGCCATAATTTGACTACAAAATTTCGAAATCCTAATTTTTTTTTATATTTTTTATAATGTACATATTCTTAAAAATGTATATCAGTTTGCTTGGTTTTGTTTTTTAGAAAATACTTTTCAAAAAATTTTAATTTTTTTATTTTCCTTATTTTTTTTGTGTTCAATAAATTTTTTTTAATATTGTAAGCATTTTTTTTTAAAAATTTTTAGACACGGCAAACATAAATACACTTAAAAAGTATATTATTTGTGAAAAAAATCTTTAAAAAATTCACTAAATACGAAAAATATAAAAAAAAAGAAAATTCAATAAAATTTTCATATTTTGCGTATTTATTAATTTTTTAAAATATTTTTTCACAAATATTTTACTATTTAGATACATCTAAGTAAGGTGTATCTAAAAAAAAATTAAAAAAAATTGCTTAAAATTTTAAAAATATTCACTAAAAATAAAAAAACACGAAAAATAAAAAACTCAATTTCTAGAAAACTGAAACCAAACATACTATGTAGTATTTTCTTAGTAAAATTTATCATAGTAATAATTTGTTATTGAGCGGTGTTAATACAAAGGCTTACCATCCAAGAAGTCGTAAAGTTAAATTTTAAGAAATCCAAACATTCCAAACCTTGGGGTTATTGAAGGTTTGATCACTTGTTAATTTTAGAACCCTAACCTTAGTTAAGATCATAAGTTAGTTTGGACATCCGGTTACAAAAAAAAATAAAATAAATGTAATAACTAGGAGTGTGTGCGGATTCAATTTGGTACAATTTGAGGGTAAAATTATAAACCAAATTGTAAATGGCGGTTTCACAAATAACCAAATTGAGGTTTGGGAAGTTCTAATTTGCTAGTTGATTGAAAAATAATCTTAAACAATTATCAAGTATTTTCATAATATATAATACTAATTTATATAATATTTTTCATATATATAATACTAACTAATTTTATAGAGTAATATTTTTCATATATATAATGCCTACTAATTTGCATTAAATTCTCATCTTAAATCTCTCTCACATTGATTTTTATTTTAATATTTTAATAAAGTAATATATATATATATATATAGATTAACTATAGCGAAGTGAAATAATTTTGAAAATTGCAAATCAAACCAATCCATAATTAACTAGTAGATCAGTGGAGTTTAAATAATTTTAGCAGATTGAACAATATTTTACATAGATATTAGAGTGTAATCCAATGATTTAGTACTTACACCTATTGAGTGAAAGATCAGCAACGGTGAACCCTTAAATTGTAATCTAAACTATAATCGCATATTAGGGCATCTCTAACGGTTCACCAAATATTTCATCAAATCTGAATAAAAAAACATGAATTCCTCTTTTTAATATCAGCCACTCAAATGGTAAATTTGTAGTTATCATCAAAACACAGGTCAACCGGGGGATGACCAAACGGACGTTTGGCTGGTCAACCGGCAACTGTAATCCAGCTTAGCAAGTGCATTGCTTGTATGATTTCCCCTATTTTTTTCTTCAGGTTCTGCCATTATTCCCCCCTCCCTTTTTTTTCTTCTCTATTTGTGGATGATTTTGATCAATTCGGATACTAAAATGCGAAATTGTGATTGTGTTTATGACAGGAGTTTTGGGTTGGAAATGAAGAACTTGTTGACACATATGAAAGGAGACTTGGTGATGATGGCTATATCACTTTCAAGCTTGATCGCACCAACAACCATGGCGATGGCATGCTCTGCTCTCGTTTCTTTTTGGTATATTCAATCTATTCAATTGAAGATGTTACGGAGTCTCCATCTAATATATCTTTCAAAATTTATCTGATTGATCATATATATATATATAGGTGTGTGTGTGTGTATACAATTATATATATAAGTATGAACTATAACAAATTGATCATACAAGGCTTTCTTTTGGATTTGCTGAGTAGATTATTTGTTTTGCATATATGTATTGATCAAATTGCTTTTCTGTATTGGAGAATTTTGTTTTTAGTGTTTGTGAAAGTTCTCTTTAAATCAAAGTGTTTCATTGAAGGTTGTCTCAAATCATGATTTTTTGAACTAACAAAAAAGGCATGTAAAAAAAAAAGATGCATTCAGGGGTCAATTGGGCGATTAACCGGTCAATGTAAATTTTTTACAAATTATATCTTGAGATGTTCATTTGAGAGTTATCCGACCGAATGTTTGGTGAGTTAAAACTATTAGAACACAAAAAGAGGTGTTCACTTGAGAGTCATCTGGCCCGACGTCGAGTGAGTTAAAACTATTAGAGCACCAAAAAAAGAAGAAGAATTTTTTTACCAAGTTTAAAATTAATGATAGATTTGATGCAGTGTTAGAGATGGCTTTAACAATATCTTTTAACACAAAAACAAAAAGAGAAAAAGAAAGAAAGATGATCAGTATTTACACGGTTAACAGTGTTCAATTATTTTCTCACACTCTAAAAGAACCAATTTCACCTCAACCATATATGGCCGCAGTAAAGATCTCTGTCTCTCTGTCATCATTTCTCTCTCTCTCACAGATACGGATACAATTTGTAGTTTTCCTTTTTTGCCCATTGGTTCTACTTAGACCTCACATCTGTGTCAAAATCGCATATGAACTCTGATACTTCGATTCCTTCAAGACTAAAGCCATTCTAACGATTTCAAAGGTTTCAATTTTTTACTTGTAAATTTTCGATTCTCCAAGTTGTTTTTGTTTGATCGAACGATTCATGTGGCCTCGATACTGGATTTTTATTTTTATTTTTCTGATTCTCTGAAGATCTCGAGGAGGTTTCATTTAGGGTTTTAATCACTCTGGTTTCGATTGATGTTGATTCTTGCGAAGAACTCATCTTTATAGGCCTATCTGGTCTTTTGTTCATGCCAGCGTTTATTTTCTTGAGATTTTTAGGTAATTTTCTACATGATTTAGTCTACTCAGTTTTCGTTCACTTGGGGCTTTTGAGCGATTCATTTCTAGGCTCCTTATTCAACGATACATACATACATATATGTGTGTTTATGCAAAGTTTAATATTTGGGCATCTGTATGGAAAATGTTTGAAGTTGCAAACTTACACATATGCTAATCATGGATACTTGTAAAGATTTGATTTTTCTGCTCTGTTTGGTTGCCGAGAAGTTGTTGTTGTTGATAGTGAGTGGTAATGGAAGTCTGAACCTTAGATGTTTCTTTGTTTGGAAAAAAAAAAAAAAAAAAACCAATTCCTGCTTGCTAGACTTACTGCAGCTATTCAGTTTAGTTGAGGCAGGCAGGCTTCAATTACAAAAATTCTAAGAAAGTAGATTTGCATATATCAAGTTCCTATATTGTTTTCTTCTGTGGAGTGTTCTTGGGAACTAATAAAGGGATGTGGGGACTTTTGTGCAGTTGATTTACTTTATCTCGTCAATTTATAGGAAAGAATTTGTTCATGCTACTTAATCTCTCTTTCTCTCTCTCTCTCTCAAAAGGGAAGGAGACGGGTTGTTTTGGACAGTGTGGGAGTGAAAAAGGCATTTATTGATATCACATGGGGTGTTATGAGGAATGGGTACATCCAGATGGTTTCTATCCTAATGGTCTTTTGCCTAATGAAGAGGCCTCTGTCACTCGATTTCTTGACCCAGACAGATGGTCAATGGCGGAAGAAAGGACTGCAGAACTGATTGCCTGCATTCAGCCCAATCAACTCTCCGAGGAGCGCAGAAATGCTGTTGCATCTTATGTGCAGCGGCTCATCACAAGATGCTTTTCATGTCAGGTAAAGGTCTTGATTTTGATTTATCTAATTTTTTTTTGATTTATTTTCTTTTGGAATTGTTTTTGGATGTTGACTGCAGTCATCATTTCAAGTTGTTACATGCTATATCAAATACCAATACGTCACCTATTTATTGATAATCCAGTAATATTTGTTGTTTGACTGTGGGAAGGCTTATGCATTTCGTTGTCTAAACCTGTCTCTGGATTATTCAACATGTTAAACTTATATTGGTCCTGTGATGTGGATTATCTCAGAGAGTACATTATTAAATGGGACAAGAGATATGTTTCACCAATGTCATATGTTTGCTAGTCTGTGGATTATAACTTTGTCAACCTTGATGGCTGTTATATGGTGGAGAGAACAATATTGGATACTGGGCACTTGGTTATACTTGAGATGTAGTATGAAGTTAATTTACGGTCCACACTCTTTACCACCTGTACGGTTGTACTATTAGCAACTGGCACATGGGAGTACGTATTTATTATTATTGTTTTATTCTATTTTAAATTATTTTTTAAAGATATATCTTGTAGAAGTGAAGTGTGGAAACATTTCCCAAATGTTAATTGAACTTGAAAGGGAAGAATATCTCCAAATTACTTATTGATGATGTGCATTTGGATGTCTTGTGGAAATTTAATACATAATCTTAGCATGAACATATCGCCATGAACTATGAAGCACGGACACCTCTCCGATGGCTCCGTACTAGTGTTGGACACGGACACGCGTCGGACACACGCGGTGGACACGTGTCCGACACGCACCAGAGAGTGTCCTATTTTTTTTTTTTTTTTGAAGACAGACACGTTTCGACACTTGCGGGACACGTTCGGGGTGAATTTCAAAATTTACAAAACATGTTTGGGGTCAATTTGTAAAAAACCAAAAATGGAACCGTATCTGCCCTAAATCGAAAGAGAAAGAGAGAAAGAGAGAAAGAAGAGAAAGAGAGAAGACGAAGAGAACAGAAGAGAAGAGAGACCTGGTCGAGAAAAAGAAGAGAAAGAGAGAATACGAAGAGAACAGTAGAGAAGAGAGACCTGGTCGATTTTCAGTGGTTGGTCGTCGCTCTTCGTTGCTAGTCGTCCGTTGCTCGTCGCTCCTCGTCCATCGCTCGTAGCTCATCTAAGGTACATCGCTGATCTTCTTCGTCCTTCTTCTGCTTCAATCTTCTTCGTTCTTCTTCTGGTTCGATTTTCTTCTTCTTTTCCTCCGATCTCTCTCTCAGTCGCCCTCTCTCTGTCTCATTTTTTTTTCTTTTCTTTTATTTTTTTTGTTTATATGTTGTGTAGTCTCTCTCCCTCTCTCTGTCTTCTATTTTTTTGCCTAATTTCATTTTATAATTTTAATAGTGTTATTGTGTATTTTTAATTAACTTTTAATGATTTTTTTAATTATTTTATGACATATAATAAATAAAATTAATTATATATTTATTGAACGTGTCCCTAGCATGTCGTGTCTTCCATTTTTTGAAAATTTGCATGTCCATGTCGTGTCCGTACCATGTAACGTGTCCGTGTCCGTGCTTCATAGGCCATGAATGAGGGCATAGGAATGGCACCTAGCATTGGAACCAATATTGAAATTTTGGAACAATGTCATCCCATGAATCCTAACATTTCCCATAACTCTAGTTGTGGTGACTGCGGAATTTTCACTGGGACTATTCTGGGTGATGGATTAGTATTTAGTACCTTGAAATGATATCAAGGTACTGGGATTCATTTATTCTATGGGTGGATCTCTGTGCCGCCCTCGATTTTGTGAAATAACCTTGCAATTCTTTTTCCGCCCAGATAGATTAAAAGAATGCTTATATTTTCAACTTGAGGGGAGTTATAACAGGTGGGTTTAAATGAAAGTTTTTGTGAAAGTAATTAGAGCCCTAGCCGTAGGGTCCATGATAAGAACCACCCCCAATTCAGTAGTTGTAAATATGCATATATACCTATTTATATATGGCTATACATTAACTGTTCTTATTTTATTCATATGAATATTCATTTGTCTTGGCCATTCACCCATGCAATTGATGTATCCAATTCATGTTCCGTTGCATGAAATTACTTCAACAACATAATAAATGTTTTCTTTACAGAGAATCCATGTCCAACAAAAGGAAAAGGGGGGAGAGTCATTATGTTTTATGTATTTATTATTTCTTATTTTCTTTGGACTACAGGTGTTCACCTTTGGGTCGGTTCCGCTGAAGACATATCTACCTGATGGGGATATTGATTTGACTGCATTTGGTAAAAATGAAAGTTTGAAGGATACTTGGGCCAATGAGGTTCGTGATATGCTAATGAACGAAGAGAAGAGTGAGGATGCTGAATTTCGTGTGAAAGAAGTTCAATATATCCAGGCAGAGGTATGTTACATCGTATTTCTAATTATATTTATTTTTATGTTTTTATCATTATTAATTTCAGAGAATGTGCTGTGTCTTTCTTCTGCTATATTGCTATCTGCTAATATGTACAAGTACCAGTGCCAACCGTGAGTGGTTGGGATCTGATCTAATTTTTTTTTGCCGTCTTTTAGTTTTCAATAAAATAATCATTTATTTATTTATCCTTCTATTTTTTTAAATGGCAAGTAAAGACTTGGATTTTTGTGTGTGTTTTGCTAATTAAACTGTGTGAGCTACTTTCTTCTTTGCTTGATACCAGGATAATAGAGAGTGAGTATTGTTATACATTGGTTTTTGAATAAATTTCATGATTCCATCATTGTATAGAAGGCTGTAGTACATCACAAAGTTGCTTCTATTACGCTATTTCATTACCTGTTCTGCTTGTTTTTAAAATAATTTCATGACTGCTGTGTTGCTGGGGTATCTTTGCCTCTTTGTTTGCAGGTGAAGATAATTAAATGCCTTGTAGACAATATTGTAGTGGACATATCGTTTAACCAACTTGGTGGTTTATGTACTCTGTGCTTCCTTGAAGAGGTAAGCCATTAATACCTGATCAGAAGGTTACGAAGTACTTGGTCTTTTTTTCTCTCTTTCTTACAGTTTGTCGCTAGCTGATAATTCTCAATTTTAAGGTTGACAGTTTGGTAAAACAAAATCATCTATTCAAGCGCAGCATTATACTGATTAAAGCTTGGTGTTACTATGAGAGCCGTATACTGGGTGCTCATCATGGACTCATTTCAACTTATGCTCTGGAAACCTTGGTTTTGTATATATTCCATGTTTTCAATAATTCCTTTGCCGGACCACTTGAGGTGAATTTGTCATCTTTCAATATTTGACAAGTTATGTTGATTTTAACCTTTTATCTCACGAGTTTTTCTTTACTTCTGCAGGTACTTTATCGTTTTCTTGAATTCTTCAGTAAGTTTGACTGGGGCAACTTTTGTGTTAGCCTTTGGGGTCCAGTACCCATTAATTCACTTCCTGATATGACAGGTACGTAGAAATCCTTATGTCATATCCATTATATTTCTTATTGAATGACATTCTCTATAAGGTCTTTAAGTAATTGGCTCTGATATGTATATATTATTTCATTCAAATATCTTACAGCTGATCCTCCTCGAAAGGATGGTGGAGAGTTATTACTCAGCAAAGTATTTCTTGATGCTTGTAGCTCTGTATACTCTGTTTTCCCTAGTAGTCCAGAAAATCATGAGCTACCATTCATATCCAAACATTTCAATGTCATTGATCCTTTGCGTGCAAACAACAACCTTGGGCGTAGTGTCAGTAAAGGTACTTGTGCATAAACTCAAGCTGGATGTCATGTTGTTTCCAAATTTTCATAAATGTTTGCTTGATGTTGTAAGTTGCGTTTCTTTTCTCCTATTTTTATTTACCATGCACTTCGTACACCATTTTTCCATAAATATATGATTTTATGAATTACTCCCTCCATCTCACAATGTTAGTCCTACTTTCCAATTTGGAATGTCTCAAAATATAGCCTTCTTTGAATACAAGTTTTCAAAATTTTCAAAACTATCCCTTATAAATGACTATGAGCATATTTAGAAGTGGGAATAAAGGGGCAATTTGGGAAATCAATCTCTTATGATGCGAATTTGAATGCATTAATTACAGTCTACATGTCCCCATAAAATAGTTGGGATTCCCAAAAGGGACTAACATTGTGGGATGAAGGAGTAAGATGTGTAATATTGAAAATACAAGGTAATGCTATATAAATCTGTTTTTCAGTTGGTCTTTGAGATGGTAGTTATATCATTTTTCTGTTTGCACATTTACTCTTTTATCTTTTAATCATGTTCATATATGTAATTGCTGAGTTAAATATTTTTTACTGCCTGTAAGGCCATGTTATGAGATTCTTGCCGATATTTAAATTTCCTTGGTTCAAGTCTTCTGTTGAATGACTCTTGAGTTTGTCTAATTACCTAAATTTTAGCTGGCAGCATACCACTCCACATTCAAAAACTTAAATTCTACAAATCCTATAAAGAATTTCACATGTAATTTTCCATCACCTATTTTCAATAAATCGCTAAACCAATTTAAGCTTTTCAATTCATTAACAAGAGAGAATTTTAATAGGGATTTTTATATTCAGCTCCCTAGAAAATATTTTATATTACTTTAAGGACAACTAAAATATGCTTGTACTAAATTTTTATTTTTTATTTTTTTTAGTCTAATTTCATTATTCCACTACCTTCAACTGCCATTGACATATTTGGCTGCCCACCAACCACCACTGATATCCACCTTGGCCACCGGCGAGAACTTTACCGTGACCACCAATAGTTGTGGTGACTATGTTTCGGTTACTCTCTGGCGAAGTGAAATGTCACTAACTTAACACAATGAAATTTCCTCATGGCCGTTTTCGGTGATTCTCTGATGAAGTGAAATTTCAATATGCTAAGTTAATGAAATTTCATTCTTCAAAATAGGAAAATTTTCAATTCATTGCTAAAAATTACAAAATTAAAAGAATTGAATTTTCACTATCTTAGAAAGTTAGTGAAATTGCATTGACTTCATCAAGAGTCAGTGAAAAGTTCACTAACCAAAGCTAAATGGAATTTCACCAAATATTGAAATTTCACTAACCGAATAGAGTCAAATTACATACGGTTAACCAACAAAACAAAGTTATTGGAACTTCATTGATTGAACCCAGTGAAATTGCTCAAGGTTAGTGAAATTTTTTGACTACCGACTTTTAGTGGGTGTTTGGGAAGGGGGTTTTTTTGTAGGTTATTTTAGTTGTAGGATATTATTGGAGAAATTTTTTCTTGTGTTTGGGAAGATGGGTTTTTTCATGGTTGGATGTGATGTTTGTGAGAGAAAAAGTGAAATGATTATGGGGTCTGATGTGATATTTTGTTTGGATTTGTTTTTTTTGGTTTTGTAACCAATTTGTCTTTTAGTGAAAAAAAACAAAAAAAATTCAAAAAACCAAGTTCGCAAACACCGCCTTAGTTTTAGTTGGTAATATCTCACTTACTATAGTAGTTTCATTGATTTAACTCTGAGAAACTTAACTGAGTACGATAGACGGTAGAGAGAGTAGACTGAGAAAAAAATATAAAACAAAAAACAATAAGATTTTTGTCAACCAATAACATACAAATTAGTAAAGAGACAAAAATATAATAGAGAGTGAAAAATGACATTGAAGGCGAGTAACGTCCAAATTTGGACTAGTAAGATGCGTTAGAGATAGAGATGGAACAGGTACTTGACAGATCGGTGATGACAATATTGTTTCAAGTGAATACAACACATCTGGTGCTAGAGGATAGTGGAGACTGAGAGATCAGTAGTGGCGGTGACGATTTCACGTGAAAATAACATAGGCGGTGGCAGTGGTGAATGCGATTGAGATGGTGGTAGTAGATGTTGAGGCGGTACTAGTAAACACATAGAGGTGGCGCCAAAGAGAGAGTTTTGTGGTGTTTAGGATGATAAGGTTAGTTTTGACCGTTTATGTTAAACTTTGTCCTTATCCGTTTAAGATTTGAAATCCTGGACTTCAACTACCAATCAAATTCTTGGTGTCCTCAAACTCTTACACAAACATGTAGATGGATGTATCCCTAATTTCCCATTTTAATATTATATAATATGCTGATAATGTTGGTTTGGTTGAATAAAAGCAAAATACTATTGATAACCCAAGTGGTGGTCATTAGTCTCTATTCCCAATGTGCAAGAGAAAAGGGCCTAAGAATGTGTGAGAAGTACTTAGAAAAGTGCCTTAGGATGTGAAGCACAAACACCTTTTTGGAGGTCACGTACCAATGTTGGACATGTGTCGGACACGCTTGAGAGAGTTGGGACACGTTGAGACACAGTAAGGCATATTGGGACATGCTAAGGTAAGGGCACATTGTGGACAAGCTGAGAAAATGTTGTCCCCTATTTTTTAAAAAGATTTTTATTTTTATTTTTGCCAAAATATTGTACCAAGGTTGATTAATTTGAGAAGAATAAATATATAATACTTAAAATATGACATATAATAAATATATAAATTATATGTTTCGTACATGTCCCTGGTAGCATGTTGTGTCTTTCATTTTTTGAAAATTTGCATGCCTTGTGTCACATGTTTGTACTTCTTAGGCCTCGGGAGTACTTATAGTTTGGTTTTTTTCTCATTTTAGCGATAGCATGCTAGGACCCTAAAGTAAAAAATAAATAAATAATAATACATGAACTTTTACAGTTGAACTTGACGAAGCAACTTAAATGTATATCTTGTTTGAACATGCAGAAAACCAGTGTCAATATCGTGAATTCCCTATCTGAAAAAAGGTTCATACCTTTTCTTCCAATGGTGTTAGTTGTCAGCCATTTTAAGGGTTTTCGTTTTTTTCCTTCCTAAAGTAAAATTTTCTTATGTACCAAACATTTTTTTCTCCTTTTACCAAAATTTTCCTTCTCCTTTTACATTTACTAATCTGGATGCACTTCTTAACTTAATGAATCACCTTCTTATGGTCCTCTAAGGCTTGAGATTAGCTAAAATTAAATGGGAGAAACTTAAAAAATTGGCGTGATTTTAACGTGGGGCCTGTTGAACTTCACATAGCCAAGTTCTAATGTTAGTAAAGTCCTATATTTGTAGTTACCTAAGCTTTTTATCATTTTTATGTATGTTCTCCTATGATTTATTTGTAAGGCTATTTTGGCATTTTTAAAAATTTTGATGGACATGGATTGTAGTGATTCCTCATTGTTGTAGTTTGAGTTTATTCTTGTTATTGGGTCTTCATATAGGGTCTATACTTTCCTGGATGTCTTTTAAAATTCAAATTCTTCAATTTCTAATTTTCGAGTTGGTGTCGGTCCTTTAAGAGTTGGGGTGTCTAAATTCTTCCAATTCAACAGACAGCAAGTTGGAGACGATTTGCTTTTCTGTTTGAATTTTAACAATTGTGCTCTTTGTCCTGTGCTACAACTGTAACCGTAGGTGTATTGCACAAGGAATGCAGGAGTGATTCCTTGATGACTTTTCTTATTCTACTCAATTAACTGTCAAAATGAGACCTTGTCACCCCTTTTCTCCTCATCCTTAAAACCCTGTTGGTAAGGCCTGACGACTGCCTACCTCATATACTCGTTATGTACGAAAGGATCCAACACGGGTACTGTTCACACAGCCCCTGAGCTTGCATTACAAAGCCTAAACCCCTATATCTCATCAACCTTTTGGCGACAAAAATTGAAAACAAGCAGTCTCAATGTCCCCTTAACAGCTTCTCTACGCCATCTGTTGTAACATTGCTTGTTCAAGAGGGCCCAGCCTAGCACTTGTAATGTTTTTCTTAAGGTAACAATATAAAACAAGTTTTAGTGTTTTGATACACTGTTTGACATAAAAATACGCTAAATATGCTAACAGAAGAACATGAGATTAGTTTTTTGACATTGGAAGAAAGGAAAAAGTTATATACTCTTGTTATGTAGGTTGCTGCTATTATTGTTTTTTTGTAATCAAATCTCAAACTAGCATTAATGCCCCTTCCCTTCCGGGTGTAAACTGAATTAAGATTGTCTTAATTATAAGTAGTTCTATCTGGCTTGTTAATGGTTCCTTTGATCATGCTGCAAAGCTCAAATGACCAAGCCCGAGGACCATTTTTTTGTTTGTATGTTCTATAAGGCTAGCTCCAACAAACTATTGGTTATCCAGTTCAAATATATATTGGTTATTAATTATGTTTGGTTTTTCTTAGACATAATTTCCTATCTTATGGCTTATGCATTGTATAAGGTTTGAAATTCAGATGAGCAATATGCCTATGAAACATGAATGCACCCTACAGTTAATGATAGTTGTAGATATCCTGTCAAGGCTTGAGGTTCTGTCAAGCTTGAAGAATCCTTAAATTATGTTAAGGAGTGCCTAGATAACAGCCTTTACTTGCCATAGCTTGGTTTGGCTTGTGTACATACTTGATTTGCGGAGTATAGAACGTAACTCTTCTATGTGAAATTTCATTAATGCTTCTCTGTGGATATCTGTTTGTTTATATTGCCAAACTGTTTGCTTTTGTGTTTTCCTTCAGGTAATTTCTTTAGGATTCGTAGCGCCTTTGCTTTTGGGGCTCAACGGTTGGCAAGATTACTTGATTGCCCAAAAGAGAATATAATTGTTGAAGTCAATCAGTTTTTCATGAACACATTGGATAGGCATGGGAAGGGGCATCGCCCTGATGCACCTAGCCCTGAATTTTGTGGTTTGCGACCTGTTAACATAAATCACATTGATGGGTCTAATGACCTTACAAATTCTTCAAGCAGCAAGAATGCAAAAGAGAATTCTGCTAGTCATGAATCTAAAGTTGAGAAGAAATGTACTTCTCACACTTCTCATGGTGTTCTCTCCCAGCATGGTAATCAATTCTTGAAACGGTTATCTAGGCCCAATAATGTGTCTCTTGTTTCTCATGCTGAAAGCCAGAAGACACACAGCAACTTAACTAGCTTTAGAGGCTCTGATCAGAATCATCAGATGACACATACTAGTAGTTCTAATGAGAGTGTAAGGAGTGATTCTAGACCAGATTACCTTGGCAATGAAGTACATGCCAGGTATCAGTTTGCAAGGACACATTCTAGTCCCGAGCTTACGGGTGCATCTTATCAATTTTCATCTCAAGGGAGGCATAACAGAGCATCGGAAACAATAAAAGGGCAGATTGCTACAAGGTTGGATTATAGCACGGGGAGAAACTTGGGCACTGACGTTTCAGAGAACAGCAATGCAATATCTTCAACTGAAGACCTGCCTTCATCAAGGTGGAACTCTTACCATCAGCAGATTCATGCCTCTGTTGAGTCAAATTGTTATCATGGTGAATCTGGTTTAGGTCCCATAGGAGAAGACAGACCTTCTGTTGCTGAGGCAATGTGGATGCAACAGGAAGAGCAAGATTTTGTGAACATGATGGCTTCTTCAAATGTTCACATGCCTGTGAATTTAGCTTCTGCTCATCAACCTGTTCCAATATCACCTTCTGTTTTAACTTCTTTGGGATATGCTCATGGAAATCCAGCTGGTATTGTTCCCCCTTGGGGCCCAAATATGCATTATTCTCAAGGTTTAGTGTCTTTGCCAATATCCCAATATTTTTCGAATATAGGAATGACCTCAAATCAAGAAGAAATCGTTGAGCCAATTGATGATAATTTGGTAGCTAGAGAAACGTATCAGGAAGACAGTGATCATGGTTTTTGGTCTGAGCGAGATGGGTTTGATGTTGATAATGGAAGCTTCCCAGTGCAACGGTTGAATGAAAAGAAACAGCTCACTTCAGGAGGGTATCCCAATTCTTCATCGCCAGTGAGCAGCTTGGAAAAACATTCAACAAAAGCTCATTCTTCAATTAAAGATAGCAGAGGGTTCATTAGGGAAAATTCGGGTGACAATCCCCAGCATCAAAACATCAGTGGAAATGACGTTTACTCTGTTAGTTCAAAATTTTTTCCTGCTTCCCATGCTACTTCAAGATTTAAACTGTCATCTGAAGCTTCCTTGGATGGCTCATCTTCGAAGATTTCTAGGTCAACAAGGGACAGAAAAGGGAGGAAATCTCCCTCTGCAGATCGGTCTACTTTTTATGAGAATGGGTGGCAATATGAGAGTGAATCAGTTGATCATGTTTCTTCTAAGACTGATGATGACAATGGAGACTGGATTCCACTATCGACAACTGGCACGGAAGTGGCAGAGAGCACGGTTCTTGAAACAGTTTCTTCTTCACTTGTGCGGACCCATGAAATACCTGATTATGAACCAGGACAGCTCAGTGTATCAAAGTCAATGCTTCCCATTGCTCCAATTCTTGCAAATTCTGGTTCAAGGCAGCGAACGATTGATAAAAATGGGATGTTACCTTGGTTTTATCCCACAGGTCCACCAGTTCCTTTTGTAACTATGCTTCCATTTTACGGTTTCCCAACTGAGAAAGGTACCTCTGATTCATCCACTAACCATATTGATAGGGGTGAGGGATTCAATAACCACCATAGTAGTCAGTCTAATCAAAGGTTAGATTCAACTGAGAACCTTGATGAGCCAGACACTTTTAGTTGTTCTAGTTCTGCAAAGGGATCTACATCAGTTGAGCCTTCTGAAGAACACAAGTCTGATATCTTGAACAGTGACTTTGCAAGCCATTGGCAGAATCTGCAGTATGGACGGTTTTGCCAGGATCCCAGAGATCATGGGCCCATGTTTTATCCACCATCTGTTGTTGTACCACCAATGTATATGCAGGGTCATTTTCCATGGGACAGCCCTGGAAGACCTCCAAATGCAAGCCTTTTCACACAGCTTATGGGTTATGGTCCCCGCATGTATCCGGTTTCACCTCTGCAGTCTGGTACTAATAGGCCCTTGAGTGGTTATCGACATTATGGTGATGATGCTCCTAGATATCGTGGTGGGACTGGAACTTACCTGCCTAATCCTGTAAGATGACCTCCTAAAATTACATTGCTATTTGTTGATGAATCTGATTTCCATACATCAAGTATCAGAATATTTCAGTGCGCGACTTAACTTTAATTATTAACTTATTATGTGGGTGCAATATGTACAGCATGTTTGTTCAGTACTACGCTAAATTTAACCAGCTTTTTTTATTATTTATACTGTTTGTTAGACACAGTTGATTTTATGGGAGAATTTCTGCATCTGTTGCACACTTTTATGCATATACTTAATGTCACGTACATACAGTGGTCTTGCAGATTTTGTTCAACATGGGCATATAATTCCTGCCTGGGTGATTGCCTGATTTAGTCAGTCAGCTAGGCTTAAAGAATTTGAAATAGAGTGCTTAAGCCATGTCTTTTCAGGTGCTTTCTTAGTGTACCCAAACACCACTATGTGGTTTGCTACTTGAGTGAGGTGTACTTTTGCGAGGTAATAACAATTTCAATTGAACACACAAACAGTGGTTAAATCATATTTAAATACATGAAAACAAATTATATGTGAATGTGATTTGAAAGAGAGAAATGGATACAAGATTTTTTATGAAGTCTTGTCTCTAGGATAAGACGCTCTCTCTCTTTGTGATTTTTTGCCATGAACTTTTTGAGCAGGGAGTAAAAGAGAAATGAGTGGGTTGGGTTAGGACTGTGCATGGGTCGGCGTGGAGTGGATTTGTCCGTTTTTTTCATCTGAACAGCCCTTGGCAGGTTGGGATTTTTATCACCTGCCATCGACCCACAAATCATTCAAATCAGTGGGTCGGTCTTTTTGAAGCAGTTTTGAATCGGTGGTTGTCGCGGGTTAGACACATGAAACCCAAATTAGGCCTTCTCTGTTTCAAAATTGTCCCCAACAAGAGTAGAAAACACAACATAAATGATCATTTATTTATTTTTTTTTTTTTGAGAAACAACAAAATTTTATTAAAACGGAAAGGAGAGAACATAAACTGAGTGGATAGATGCTTCCAGTACCATCATCCACAAAACTCAAAGCTAAAATTTTAATAGGAGAAACATAACTAAATAGACAATGCTTCAATACCATCAACCAAGAATCCAGATCCATTTTATTGAATTTGATTCTATGAGAAATAATAGCAAATGGTAAGGGGGAATTGCAATGGAAGTGGTTGGAGAAGGGGAGAGGGAGATCTGTGAACCTGTAAATGATAGTCGGGAGGGACAAATCTTTTTTTTTGGGGGGGGGGGGGGGGGGGACGGGAGCTGCTACGGCAGAGGGTTACTGTAACGCCCTCAAATTTAAGAACCCGGTTCATCGAGATTAACCCACATTCCTAACTCAATTCTCATTAATGATATAATTAATATGCGGTCGCAAGTCTTTCTTGACGATTCATTAATCATGATCATATTTCATCTCTGTATTTCGTTCATGAATTTCAAGTTTAGCTTTACAAAAAGGAATCACATGCATTGATACATTCACAATCCCTAAAACTTGAATCTATAGCATGTGATCGTAAGAAGAGATAATACTAAAATGATTATAGATAAATGCCATAAAGGTTACAAGTTCTAAGCATTTTGCCTGGTCACATCAAAATGAGTTTCAACTTAGTACAATTATATCCACCCAAAAAAACTCAATACAATTATAGTCCTTGGTTTTACAAAAGAAACAAGTAAACTGTGCTTCACGCTCTAAAATCCTCAACGCCTCTATGTTGGCAGAGGCACACCATCAGCACCTAAAAAATGGTTTCCACATAGGGATGAGTATAAGGCCCAGCACAGATAATCTTAATATAGTGCATGAAGTTTAACAATATGATGAGGAGAATGCAAATGAGATGTCATGCCAAAAATATAAGTTTCCATTTTGAAATCTCTTGCTGTGCACTTGTTCAAAACCATAACCAATCATTTTTTCATTTCAATAAAATACGGAGTGGTAAATATGACTTTGGCAATCCCTAGGTAAGTGTCTGCAAGTAGTTTCATAGAGCACTACCAAAATCACTTTATTGGCTCTTACCACAAGGAAATTGGGATTTACACAGGTGGTTTAGGACTTTCACCATGAACCTAAAGCCAACTTAATTTTCATTAACTATACCCCCTAACCGGATTCACTAAAGTATTTACCCCTTTTCTCAATACATTTCAAACATTCTCAACAATTCCAAAAGTTCACGATGAATCACATCTCAATACATTTCTCAAAATGCGATAAACGTTGAAAGCATGAAATCATGCGATGCTCAATGATATGTATGTCTTTGTAATAGTTTCAATTTTTCCTAATTTGTGTGTAATTTATACAACACATCAATGCAATCCTCCATCGATTGTCAAAACAATTATCTCTAATTCAATATTCCAATATAGGCAATATCTAGAGCATAATTCAACATTTCTCAAACTTTCCAAAATAGAAATGATTTGCCAAAATCATAGTCTCATCAATCTCAATACCTAATATTCACAATTCTCTACAAATTTCATGAATTTCAACAACAAAGTTTCAATTTCAACATTCTCACTTTCTAGGGTTTTAAGAAAATCGGAGGTTTCTCTCTAGAAGCTTAATTTTTATCAATTTCATAGCCATGGATAATTAAAAGAAAATCAATTTGAAGCTTTGAAGAAATTTGCGAGTTTCCCCTTAACTTGTGCATTAATATTCATATACACCAAAACCCTAATCACTCACTGTCTTAAATTATCAAAATAACACATAATGAGCTAAATTACATTGACAATGTTAAGAAAATTCCTACCTCAAATAAGGAAGAGAAGCGTGAAAAGCCCCAAAATCGATGTCGTCGGAAATTTGATCAGCTTCTGTGAAAATGATGCCAAATCGATACGCTTGTCAAAATGGCCTTAAGAAGTAGTGAGGATTTTGATGGATGATAGAATTTATGAGGGTTGGTGTTGGTGTTGGTGTTTAGAGAGAGGGGAGAGAAAAGAGGGGAAAAAGAGAGTTTAGAGAGATATATGAGAAAGTGAGATGAGAGAGAGAGAGAGAGATCAGATTTTGACCAAAAAGAGCTCAAAAATCGAGATTGGAACCCGCATTGCCGCACGTGCGGAGCCTGTGCCTGCACATGCAGGAACACCTGGTGTGTTCAAAATTGATCCAGGGTGATCCTACACTTCTCCGTTTTGTCCTTTTTTTTTTTTTTTTTTTTTTTTTTTGAATCACATACGCAATCAATCAATACAAAAAGTTAATGTATTCCATCAACTGTCCAGGACTAATCCTGAGGGCCCTGAAGTTAACGACCGGGCAAACCTCCAGTGGCCCCAAGGGGTGACTCGAACTCGAGACCTGTGGATTTTATCCTCCAGACTTTACCATTCGGCCACTTGGGGAAAAGATTCGTAAGAGGTTGGAAGGGTGCTATGAAGCACGGACACGGACACGCATACAGACACGGACACGGACACGGGACACGGCAATTTTAAAAAAATGGGGACAGGGACATGGACACAGCTGGGGACATGGCAAAATTTTTTTTATATAAATATTTTTATTTTAATACAAGTTAATTATTTTATTTAATTATTATATTTTTAAATAAATATGATTCTATTAATTTTTTATTTTATTTTATTTTATCTACTTTTTTTTTATTAATATATGTATATATATTATATAAAATATAAGATATAAGATATGTTTTTTTATTAATATTAAATAAATACATATATACATATATATATTATATACCTAATAGATATATTATACATGAATCAGATATATATATATATATATTATATACCTAATAGATACATTAAACCTAATAGATACATGAATCGAATCAGATCAGAGGAGAGAGAGAGCGATCAACACGAGAGCAAGAGAGAGCGATCGATGCGAGAGCGAGAGCGAGAGACGCGAGCGAGAAGGAAGGCGAGAGAGAAGGGACGAGAGAGAGAGAGAGACTTACTGATGGAGATCGACAGGTGAGTCAAGGTCGAGGTCATGGATGGAGGTCGATCGCGATCGTTTGGGGTGTTCGATCGACTGATGGAGCATGGAGCTTCGATCTTCGACTGGATTCATGGAGCTTCGATCTTCGACAGGTTTGTCTCTCTTCACTCTCTTCCTTCACACTCTCTCCTTTGTCTCTTCCTACTTGTCGTGTCTTACGTCGTGTCCAGATCTGGACACGCGTGTCCCCTATAAGAAAAACAATTAAATTAAAGGGACACGGCAGATGGCGTGTCCCGTACGTGTCCCCGGCGTGTCCCCGTGTCCGACACCGCCACGGCGTTGATTTTGCCGTGTCTATGCTTCATAGGGGTGGAGCAAGGCTTTTTTGTCGCGTGGGCATAGATACACTTTGGTTAAGACTGTTTTTAGTGGTATTCCCATTTATTTCTTATCTTTGTTCAAGATTCCGGTTAGGGATTTTCTTTGGGAGGGCAAGGTTGAGGGGAAGAAGGTTCACCTGGTGAATTAGGATTTAGTTTTGTTACCTAAGGAGAAGGGGGCTTGACTATTGGTAACATTGTGGTTAGGAACATGGCTCTTCTTGGCAAATGATTATGGAGATTTCCAATTGAGAGTCATTCACTATGGCATTCAATTATTAGAAGCAAGTATGAGACTCATGACAATGGTTGGGATTCACAGGTGGTTATGAGGGGTAACTGTCTTGCTTCTTGGAAATCAATTTCTTAAATCTATATATGTTGGTCTCGTTATCTTTCATTAAGGGTGGGCAATGGGGAGCTTGTTCGTTTTTGGGAGAATGTTTGGATGGGTCAATCTTCTTTTGCTTTAGACTTTCCACGTCTTTATAGAGTGGCTCTGTTTCATAGTTCTTTTATTGCTTCCATGGCTTATTCACTTTTGGCTCCAATTTCTTGGAAGTTTGGTTTTTCTAGGAATCTTAATGATAGGGAGGTTTCACAGCTGACTACTTTGTTGTTCAGAATTGATCATGTTTCTTTGGTTCCTCTTGGAGGATAAGAGGGTTGTACTTTTCATTCATTCGGTATATTTTCTTGTAAGTCTTTTTTTGATAAAATCATCGAAAATCCTTATGTTCCTTAGTTTCCCTTTTGCAAAAGAATTTGTAAGGCTTGTGCTCCTTTACAGGTGAAGGTGTTTATGTGGGCCTTGGTTCATGGAGGCATCTTGACAAATGATACATTGCAGAAATGGAGACCTAACCATTCTCTAAATCCTCAGTGGTGCATTCTATGCCCTAAGAATAGGGAATCTGTGGATCATTTATTTCTACATTGCCCAATTGCTTTGAATTTATGGCACAAATTGTTTCTTTTGGGAAATGTCAGGTGGGTGGCACCAAAAGGGAGCGCAAGCATATGCTCTTTGTTTATTTTCGAGCTTTTGGAGGATCAAAGAGAGCCAAAGTGTTTTGGTCTTGCGCCATCTTTGCAATTTTTTGGGTTCTATGGTTAGAAAGAAATGCGAGATTGTTTGAAGATAAGTTTCAGGAAGTGGACTGTTTGTGAGATAAAGTTCGCCACTTAACTTCCTTTTGGGTTTCAGGAAATTCTCTCTTTAAGGAGGTTCCACTTTTTTTGTTAGCTAGAGATTGGTTGTCAGAGTGCGATATGTAGGCTTTTGTTTGTGATAATCTTGTTTAGGGTTTGGCGCTTTTTTTTTTTTTGGTTGTAAGAGGATACCTTATCCTGGTCCCCTTTTTATTTATTTATCAATAGTCTTTTGTTGTTGATTAAAAAAAAAAATGTTTTGTGCTAGGCTATAGGTTGCCCCTAATTGTAGCTTAGATGAGAAAATTGACTGAATATGGTTTCACCAAGATTAACAAAGATCAAAAACTGCACTACTAAGGAGTTGAGCTCACGTTGAAGGTGCCAATTGGATATGGAGAAAATGTTGGTCAAGGCAATATTTTTTGCTTGTAGTTTAACTGGAAATGTGACTTTTGATTAATTTGAATTGCCATTAACTGAACCTCCCAAAGCACAAATCACATACAAGAACAAAGCCGAATGAGTTACAGAGATATTGCCCAATCCTTTATTCTTCATTGACAAAGAAACTGAGGAACAGATTTAGTATAAGATGTGCTGTTCATTTTATGATTTCATTGTTTCATGCAGATTCTTCAAGTAATTTATGCCTTTTTGTTGTTGTTGTTGTGTGCGTGCATGTGTAATCAAGTTTAAATTGCCACTTCCATTTGGGACTCGATTTCTGGTTTATTTATATGTTGTTTTTTCAGAAGATGGCTTTTAGGGACAGACACTCCTCAAGTGGCAGGAACCGGGGGAATTACAGTCATGATCGGAATGATCACCATGGCGACAGAGAAGGCAATTGGTATAATAACAATTCAAAGCAAAGATTTTCTGGTCGTGGTCGGGGTCGCAACCAAGTTGAGAAGCCAAACACAAGAATAGATCGGAATAAAACAAGCAACAGCCGATCTGATAGGCCATCATGGAATGCGTTCAAGCCTGACTATTTCCCTTCAAATCATTCTCAGAATAGTCCATTCAGCTCTTCAAACTCCATGCACCGTGGCTCCTCAAATGTAGCATACGGCATGTATCCACTTCAAATGGTGAATCCTGATGGAGTTTCTCCTGGGACAGCTGGACCTCCTTTTTTTATGTTTTATCCATATGACCAAAACATGGTTTGTGGTGGTTCGACTGAGCAGTTTGAATTTGGGTCTCTTGGAACAGTGCATTTCTCAGGCACAAATGAAGTAGTGCAGGTTGGTGAAGGTTCATCAAAGAGCATCAATGTGCAGCAAAATTTTCATGTAGATACTGCACAATCTTCACCGGATAAACCCTCCTCACCCAAGTTTCAAAGGTAAATTGCTCCTCCGGTTTTCCTTGGGTTGTGGAAGTACTAGTCTGGTAGGCATCAATGATATGTCTATTCAGAACAAAGAGATGTCAATGTTACTCATAGTTGCCCCACCATTCTCCACTGTGATTGTTTTGGATATGTTCATATGTTTTGGACTGCTCATTTAGCATTGGCCGTGGGGGGTTCACTGAACAAATGGTGGGGAGTTCCTTGGCTTCATTCATTGCTGCTCTAGAGCCATGAGCATGTGCACTGCCAGAGCGCATTGGTTTTTATTTTGTGAACCGTACTTTTCTCGTTGTTACTTAGCAGGTCATTTATCTACATTGCTCAATTACTGGTTTTGTTCTGATATTAATTGGAATTGCTTTGTGATCTTGTTGACGTTATTATTCTTTTAACAGGGGGATTTGATTATTTTGCCAGATCAAGATCTAAGAGGAATTATCATTTAAAAGATGTGGATTTCCCTCCTCTTCCATATTCAAAGCAGATACATAAGTGGGAGCAACAATGATATAGTTTATACTCCCACTTTTAGAACCTCCGTGTTCACACCTCTCATGCAAAGAATCTTCTTGGGTCTTTTGCTCCTGTAGCTTGCAGCTTCCTTGGTCCGCAGACAAATTACAGTTTCACAACAGCAATACAGTTTGTATTTCTTGCCACAAGAAAAGTCGCATTTTAATTTCTTCGATTCTGTGGTGGCATGAAGATGGATAACGATGGTGGGAGAGACGTTAAACCAAGGTGTAGGAGAGGGATGACAAAGGTGAACGAGAAAAAGAGGATTGCTGTCGTTCTTTCTCCTTTTTTGTAGCACGCTTCTACATATCTCCTAATTGGGTTAGGTTTTCACCTCTGGAAAAGAAGTTAGTTAAGACTTCTACGTTGGTTCATTGCTAGGGTTTTGTATTGTATGTTTACCAAATGCTCTGCTTTACTAGCTTTCTCCTTTCTTGCTCAAAAATAATTAAAAAAAAAATGAAAAACAAGAATTATGAACCGTAATGTTGTATTTTGTTTTGGAGAAGTCTTCAGTTAGTATCAGTGGCAGAATGCGAGGGTTCTTCCCTTCATTGATGAATGAGATGGCTGTATCCAATTCATTCATAATTAGATTGAAATTAAACATATATATATATATATATATTCCAAAACAATTATAAGAATCTTGAGTTGTCCTTCCATTTCAAAAGAAAAATTTCTTCGTTTGTGCTCAATTATGAAGTTTTCTGAATGAGTTTTATTTTTTAGGATAGATATGTTAGTATAATGATATATTTTTATTTTTTACCTCCGCATTTGATGAATCCTGAGGATAGACTGATTAAGAGTGGGAGATTTCATGTTTGAATCTATTTGCCCCCCTATCCCATATTCAAAAACCATCTGTCAACCATATGATTAGAGTTAATAAAACCGGTTGTGTTAGAGAAGTGATTTGGGATAACTGAAGTTCTGTGTTTGAAGAGAGGTGAGACGTTGTCAGTACAAATTTGTTTGGAGTTTCTTTTCCTATGCTGCTATTAATCTCTCTATTTCATGCAGCTGCTTCTGTTTGGTCTGCCTTGCTCTTGTTATCGATTTTATGCAGACATATAGTTAAATTTCAAGTTTTATGATTATTGGATTCTAGCATTTTAAATTATTTAAAAATACTAGTGGTTCGTAATGAATTACACATTAATTACTTTCCAATGATTGAGAATGAGGTCTGGATCCTTGATGTATTAAAATAAACAGGTTAAGTGTCTGTTAAATAGTTTATAAATTGTAATTTATAAATAGGTGATATAATTAATTTTGATTAAAAAATATATATAGTTGGAGTGGAGTAGAGTTTGGTTTCTTTCTCTAGGCGTTGGGGGTTTTTTGTCCCTAATTGGGGTATTTATCTTTTTTCTCTCAATTTGATCCTTAATTTGCATTTGGATTGCATTGTTTGGTATTAGAGCTTAAGCTTGATCCTAATTTCTTCCTAATCTACGCTGTCTCTCATGATCGAATCACGATTTTGTGAAAGCCTTAACTAGAACGCTGCTCAACCCTAAATTTGTCAAAGCAACTTGGAGTGGATCGTTTTGTATCTATCTATTCAAGTATAGTGAGATTGACTTTGCAACTCAATTTTGACCTATATTTGCCTCTTGATTCAACTTCGTGATGAGATTTCGATTTGTGATAATCTAGTTTCAGAAACTTCAAATTTTTTGGATCTTATTTGAAACTTTTAGAATTCGTTAGATCTGTGTTCGAAAAGGCTTGGTTAAGGTTGATTTGACTTCGAATTCTGTAGATTTGTTTTTAAACTCTTAGATTTCTTTAGATCTATGTTCAAGTCCCTCAAATATTGTTCGATTCTTTTAGCTCAGATCTAGTTTTTGTTTTTATTTTTATTTTTTTTCTTATCAGAAGATGAGTTTCCATTAAAGTAGTCAAACGACACTTACAAGGAGAGGAATCCATCCAAAAATCACTTACACCACCAAAGGAAAGATGAGAAAATAAAGAAAACACAAGAGTAAATCTATAAAGAATACCCAGTTGCACAACAAGTGTTTGTGCTCGTACTGCAAGCAGAGGCCAACAAATGGCCGTAGGGCATGACGATGATAGATCATAGAATACAACCACAAAGTGGGCAAGCAACACCAAGCACTGATGGATTCCAAAGGCAAAACCAAAACCAAAATAAACAAAAACAAAATAGGACCAGAACTCAACCTCAAACCAGTGGGTAAGCACACTTCCACCATGGGCTCGTACTCAAACTCCTGTAAGCTAAATCCGATGAGGCCAGTGTGTGGAGGCAGCAGATTCGGTGAGAAGTGGAAGAGTTGGTGTCGATGTGGTGGTGGCGACGCCGGCGCGAAGCAAAGAGGAGGTAAACGACAGATTTGGTGAGGGCAACGGCTGGGGTAAGGGAAAGAGAAAGGGAGAAAAACAGACTATAAATCCACCAGAATGGGAAAAACACCTCACAAGGAGGGAGAAGATGGAAAGCAAAGCTTCCAAAGCTCATTGACCAGAAATGGCAAAGGAAACGGAAAAAAAAAATGGTAGAGAGGAGGGGAGAGGTGGCCGGAGGCCGGAGCCCCCCTCCCCCACCCCCAACGGCGCTCAGAAAGGAAACCCTAGAAGAAAAAAAGAGTAGAGGGAGAAGCTCTCAAAAGTAGAAAGAGAGTCGTTTCTTGCTTAGCTCAGATCTAGTTCAAAGTGGATATGTGTTTAAACCCTTCGGATTTGTGTTAGAGATTTGATTGAAATCTACTCCTACTCGAATCCTTTCAAATCTAATTCGGTAGTTGCCGAATGCCTCTGATTGGAGAGGGGGAGGGGGTGGTTTGGTTGTCTCTATTTACATATGACCTTTCATCTCAAGACATATCATTAATTAGTTTATTTTTTATTACAATTTTAACCTTAGGTAAAATGACCACAAAAGACAAAGGGCTATGATACACACCATTTGTATAATTACCATAAAGATCAATAATAAATGTAATACACATGAAGAATCTCAAACGTTACTTATATATCTTGTCTCTGAAGAATCCAAAAATCCTAAAACAAAAACCAAAAACCCTTAAAGAAATAATAAAAAATATACGTATTATTGAAGATTTGGATTGGATTCAATTATGGATGCATCTAGCAATACTGATTCGGAACAATGGAGCAAGGAAAATGTTATTTTTTCATTTTTTTTTCCCATTTTCGTGTACTTGCTGAGTGGTAAACTGTTTGTATTAGTTCGGTTATCCAGAGTCGAATAATATATCCATGTTCGACTACCTTCAACCGAATAAATTGTATATGCTCGGTTTCATAGTGTCGAACATGTTCCAATTATTTGGTTTGTAAGTATCGAACAAACACGAATTGTTCAGTTAGAAACAGTCGAACAATTCCACTTAGTTCGACTCTGTACTGCCGAACACTTATAACATTTTTTTTTTTTTTTGCTTTTTTTTGAACTGTGCATCCATGAAATGAAGTAATGTTGGATCTAGGGGTCTTGTTGACTACACAAGTCAATTTATTACCAATGAGGTAGTCTCATGTTGAAGATTAGTAGTTTTTTTCTTTTTCTTTTCGCATGTTTAATGACTTTGGTAACGACAAGGAGCACCACCGGTGTCTTGAGAAGTCTTCACCAATGGTTTTGTAGAATCCAAAAATCCTAAAACAAAAACCAAAAACCCTTAAAGAAATAATAAAAAATATACGTATTATTGAAGATTTGGATTGGATTCAATTATGGATGCATCTAGCAATACTGATTCGGAACAATGGAGCAAGGAAAATGTTATTTTTTCATTTTTTTTTCCCATTTTCGTGTACTTGCTGAGTGGTAAATTGTTTGTATTAGTTCGGTTATCCAGAGTCGAATAATATATCCATGTTCGACTACCTTCAACCGAATAAATTGTATATGCTCGGTTTCAAAGTGTCAAACATGTTCCAATTATTTGGTTTGTAAGTATCGAACAAACACGAATTGTTCGGTTAGAAACAGTTGAACAATTCCACTTAGTTCGACTTTGTACTGCCGAACACTTATAACATTTTTTTTTTTTTTTTTTTTTTTTTCCAGAACTGTGCATCCATGAAATGGAAATGCAGTAATGTTGGATCTAGGGGTCTTATTGACTACACAAGCCAATTTATTACTAATGAGGTAGTCTCATGTTGAAGATTAGTATTTTTTTTTCTTTTTCTTTTCGCATGTTTAATGACTTTGGTAATGACAAGGAGCACCACCGGTGTCTTGAGAAGTCTTCACCAATGGTTTTGTTCACCACTGGGTTTGATGCAACACACTAGGACGACAATTAAACAGGGAATGGAGGGAGAGATGGATCGTGGATGGGGGTGGGGTGTGTGAGTGAGTGAATGAGGGTAAAGATGAAAGATTGTGGGTGGGGTGTGTGAGTAAGGGTAAAGATGGAAAGTTGTGGTGTGTATTGAGCAAATTGTTTATTTATCAATTTATTAAAGGTGTGTCTTGAGTATTGGTGTGCCTTGAAATGAAAAGTGATTTGTAAATAGAGGCACCCCTAATTGTGTTCTATTTGGTTCAAAATCCCACAAATTTGGGGTTGACTTGTATTGAATGCTTCAAATTAGAGTTCTTCAAGTTTGATCATAGCCTTCTCTTGGGTTGATTTAGTTTGAATCCCTTGTATTTGGTTTGGATAATGTTCGATCAACATTTCTTTTGGTTCAATTTGGTTCAAATCCTTCAGATTTGTGTTCAATTTGGCTTGATTTGGGCTAAAAGGTGTTTGATTTGGGAGTGGGTGCTATTGGTTGTTGAGTGCTAATTGGGATAGTTTTGTATTAGAGAGAAACGTTGGATCCATTCTCTTGGAAGGAATAATGATTATCACAATCAGAATCAGAATCAAAATCAACGAGATGAAATGAAGCAAAGGAGTAACAAATTGTGCTTTGTTAGAGGTATAATGATAAAGCTTCAAAGAGTTTATTTGAAGCTGTATTCAAAGAGTTTCTTTGAAGCCGTGTGTTTCCTACTCCTATATGTCTGTCTCTATACAATGTTGGCTTGAGTTAAGTATGTTGCTACTAGTAATGCTCATTTGTTGATTGTGTCTAAGGGACATAAGGAATAATGCAACGCATAATTCTCTCTCACTCCTGATTAGCTTCTCACACGTGGTTCTTACCTAGTGGATGCATTGTCACATTCTTCAACCTTGCTTTGGAAGCTATCCTTTCACTGGTCTATTGATCTCATTCCGATTGAATGAGTACATCTCTGCACTAGTGTGCCGATCAAAGATGAAGGCTTAAGAAATGGAGGGTTGTCCAAGCTTTAGCAAGAGAGTATGGAGGGCATGATGGAGGTTGTCAATTTGCACCTATAGTTGTTTAGCTATGGCTGCAGTTACATATATTCAAGGAATGATGAGTTGAGAGAGCTATTTTTGCGTTGAGCATGGAGATGCAGTGCCTATTCCTCGCCTCAGGATTCACTGCATAGTGCTACATTTAGCTCACTTAGTTGTTGTTTGAACTTGATGACAAGTTTCTTGAAGAGGGGGAGTCTGATGCATCAAAATAACTAGGTTAAATGTCTATTAAATGGTCCATTAGTTGTAGTCTATAAATAGGGGATGTAATATTCTATTGTATATGGTTTTTGATTAAAGAATATACATTGTGATTGGAGTAAAGTTTGCCTTCTCTATCTGGTCATTAGCAGTTTTATCCCTAATTAGGGTATTTGTCTTCTCTCTCTCAACTGAATACTAGATGTTCATTTAGATTGTATTAGAGCGTCTTCAACCCACTCAGCATATAATGTTTGTTAGTTAAAATGTCTAGTATGACTCACTTTTTATCAATTCTAATGCACTAGGCATATGATTAAGTATTTTAACTCAATTCATATTTACTAGCTACATGTAGTTAATCTTCAAGGTTTAGCAAAATATATTTAATCATTAGGTTCATTTTCTTCTATCTTTGTTGTTGATGTGACATTTTTATAAAGTCAATAGTATTTGGATGAATAGTTAAAATAAAGAATATGGTTAAAGTAGAAATATAAAACAGTTTATAGACAAAATAAAATATATACTTTACAGTAATATTTAGATATGTAAAATATATTAATGTTAAAGTTACTCTTAGTTCCATAGTCATAAAAATATATGTGAGGTCCACAATTCATTATGACATAATTTAATTTTATAAATTACTAGAGATACCTAAGAATGACTCTTGCAAGTTACGACTGCACCAAAGTTTGAAAAAAAGCGTACTTTGAGTAATGAGTTGAACTTTTTCTCTATGCATGGATTGGTGGTGTACTTTACTTTGGATTGGAGTTGCATGCCTCAAAATTGGACTTCCAATTAAAGAATATAAATAGAAATTCATTCATTTACACACACCCACACACAAAAAATAAAAAACAAGTATCAGAGAAGGTAGTATTAGTAATTAGAAATAAACCATTAAACTATTTACAAACTGCACGAGTAGTAAAGTGCTTTTACTATATATATATATATACCGTTTAAGTAGTACAACTGTGCTGTTGGCTACTTTTCTTTTCTTTTCTTTTTCTTGATCTATCTCTGTGTCTCTCTCTAAACCTTTTTTTATTTATTATTATTATTTTTTATGTACAAGAACACCCCAGTGAAGTCAGTCTTGAGTCATGGTAATACCCAGCCAGAGTCTTGAAAAAGTGACGTGGCTTGGCTTGGGCTAGTAGGAAGAAGTGTGTGTGAATCTGGCCAGACTGATCAAGAAAGAAAATACTTCAGAAGGGTCCCTTAGAGAATATGAGGCCATGGTCTCCCTTGGTGTGGATGACACTATGATTGGATACCCCTCTCCTCCTCTACTTCTTACAACCTACATACATAAAAATTTAAACGATTTTGGTATGTAAGAATACGAGTGAAATGTTAAAAACTCACAATTTAGATTTATAAAGTCATTGACAATGATATAGTAAGAGAATTGGACTCTATATGATTGTGTAATAAATAAAAGATCATTTTAAACGGAGGATGTCTTAATCTGATCCACTTCAATCAATCTATAAATGAACAAGTACATTATTAATAAAAACACATTAATTCGTAATTTTTTTATTGTCTGGTTTAAGTGAAAAAACAACTCACTTTGTCCCTTAAAACCATTGCGTTTAGAATTAGAATGATAGATTAGGTTTTAAATAGGGGTATCGGGAGGCAAATTGATATCATTAGCTGGAGTGTCGCGGTATTGGACATTGGGTGGTGACACAATAGTGAATTTTTGGGTTGTGAATCAGCTATCAATTGATACATATCATGAACAAGATTATAATAGCTGAAAATGATTTTTTTAAAACCATTTTCAACTGATTTACCAGAATGCATCAATATTGAAAGGAAAAAAAAAATGTTGGCACGGTATGTTAAATAAAAACACTTGTGATATACGGCAATATTTAAAAATATGGTTACCAAGCTCTTTAAAATTTATAATTCGCCAACAAAATAATTGGTTTATCAAATTAAGCAAAGTGCAAGTTAAATTACATTTAAGATATAATCAAGATATATATATATATGCCAATTTGAATGGCTTTTAAGAAGCGAGTTTAAGATTAGATTGATCAATTACCTTAAAAGCATCTTCATCAGTTCGATCATCTCCAATATATATAGGGAGAACATCACTAGAGCTAGCGAGCCCTAGAGTGTCAAGTAAATATTCCACGGCATCGCCTTTGTTCCACTTAATTGATGGCCTAATTTCCATCACCTTTTTACCTTTCGTTAAGTGAAAACTTGAATACTTAGCAAGTACACACTGCACTCTCTCTTGCAGCATGTCATAATCCTGCATTTATATATAGTTTGTTCACTGTTATTTTTTTTTAATCCAAACAACAATGCTGAAAGAAAAAAAAAAATAATGAAGAAATCAGACAACTAAATTACCTCTTGGTGGACGTGTCGGTAATGTACAGAAATGCAGAACCTGTTGTCTTCTATCATGACACCCTGTATTTTGCTGGTTTTCTTCTCCAACTCGCCTAACATCTATTACAAAAAAAAAATAAAAAAAAAAAAGCTTGAAATTTGATTCGTGAAAAAATGCATTTGGAAAGACTAGTTTGTTATCTACAATAGAGGTACATCAATTGCATCGAGCAACAGGAGCTCTACTCTATTTCCACCAAAATTGTTCAAAAATGTTAAATTGTAACTGTAGACTTGAGTTTTTAGTCTTTTTTCTTATAACCCTACATTTTGTCTAGAGCTTGGCAAACTAAATACAAATGGTTCAATCAGAAGGAACTCTTCTTCTTCGAAGTTTACACCAATACACCAAAAATGTCACAAATTTAGAACCTTAGGCATACACGTCTAAGTACCTCTTTGATTTTAGGCAAAAACTCTTGTGCGGGTTGGAAGATGACATAATCGTTCCCCTACAAGATTAAGATTTTACATGTCACTAGTTCTCATCATTTATCAACAAAAAAAAAAAAAGATTTCAAATGTGTCAGTGGGATGAAATTTCAGTTCCTAAGTAGTCTGGAATCATTTTGAGGGCAGCTGACCTTTATATCGAAGTCTTTGGTTTGGTACTTGCCATCGTAAGTCTTCAGCTGCCTTGGTGGACCTCTTATGTCCATGCCATGGCTTCCCGCATAGTATACTTCATCTAATTTCACAAATTCATACACCTAAACGCGCATATAACACATGTACATATTACAGGTTGTGTTTCATCTAATGAGTACTAACTTAGAGAAGATGGGACTCATTATTAATTCTCACCTTGTCTCGACTCCTACCACTAATTATGGCTGTTGGAAAACGCCGAGCAACTTCACATACAGCTGAGCGCATCTGCATATTATTTGATTTTACATTAGCATATGGACGGGTGTAGTACATATGAAAAAAGGCACAAAAAGAAAACAACGATTGATAGTAGTAATAATAATAATACATTACCGAATCAGACATGAAAGCACGGTTAGGGTCATTTACAATGGGAGAGAGGGTGCCATCGTAATCCAAAAACACGACGATCTTCTTTCCCTTAGCATTGCTTATCATGTCTTTGAAACATCTCAATGCAGAAGGATGTTCAATCTATTTATTTACAAAAACCAATTAAAGGTGAAAATATCAATCAATAATTGTTGGCAATATCATAAGATGCAATTAATTGTAAGGACTATAGCATATATGGGTAGGAGTGAGACATTTAACGAACATAACTTTATGTACCCAAATAATATTTTCACCAATAGAATAATGTAATTAAAATCTGACATTTTTTGCATTGTAACATGTCATTTTGGCAATGATCAATAGAGTTATAAGAACTCACCAACCAAGAGTTGTAACTTGTGTCGCTAGCATCTAGTTCATCGCAAGGGTGTGTTTTAGTGTGATCATCAGCAACATTCTTGTCATGCCTTGCTTTTGAGATGCTTTCAATATAGTCTGTTGTAGTGGCTCCTGGTCTTTGAAGTCTCATTGAATGATAAAGCTTTGCAAAGCTTCTCATCATTGTCTCCATTCTATAACAAAGAGGAGAAAATTAAATGAAAAATAAAATGGCATATATCTCACTCTTGAAAAGAGATAGAAAAATTTGTTATTTCATGTCTTGGTTATCCCAAAAATAACATTAAAAAAAAATGGTATGTATATACAGAACATGAATGACATGGTTAACAAAGCCTTTATTAAACAGTTAAGCCCATGTCAAGTCTATCATAAAACTGGGCTTAATTTTGCAAAAGTAGTCACTGAAAGGGCCAGGTCATCTTGACCCAAATAAAAATAAAAAATAAAATTTGTAACTTGTAATTTGCACAGACAATTACAATTTTATTATTATTTTGTAGTTTGCCCAACAATAAATTGGGCAAATGACCTCTCCGTCACAGTCAATACTCATATAGGAAAATGCCTAAGACCCCCAGCTGGGGGTGCTGGGGGGTCGTGTGTGTAGCCCACTGTTTGGGCCAAAAAAATACTATTTTTTTTTTAGCGAATAGGGGGCCGCCACGTCACTGGGAGTCGACCCCCACTGGGGGTATGAATCACGGCCCTACTCATATATTTACTAGTGGGTCCCACTCAAAGGGTGAGAATCACGTGATAGGTTTTTTAGTTCTATTTTTTTCAAACTTAAATATTTTTGTCTATATATAATTTTATTCGTCATCCTATCACAACATATTTATATTTTTGAAGTCAAATAACTTCTCAATTTTTTATTTATTTTTTTTATGTCGCATCCATGACGTTGCTATGTTATGTTATGCATTAAATCATATATGAAGTGTAAGAAGTTGAATTCAAACACGTTTTAAAATATCAATAATAATTATCCTGAGATAATAATGATGTTGAGGAATGTAATAATTTTTTATAATAACTTTTTCAAAGTAGGGTCACATTGGACCCACTCTTTTTGAGTCATCCCGAATATTATATTCACTAACATATCATAAATATTAATAAAATATAAGAGATACTAACAAAAATCGAATTCAAAATATGTGAATTCATTTATCCTAAAGCCGCTACCCTAGCGGCATAAAATGCAATTTTCTTAAAACCTTCAATTTGAATTTCAATCATCCCACCCACCCAGGGTGTAACGGTAGTGTTATTATAAATCATCATATGACTTGCAGATCAAGAATAATAATAAAAAAAAATCATCATAAGATTGCTCTACTCTTCTAATATAGTTAATTCCTTGTTTGGCAAAGACATGCGAAGAAGTGGTACAACGTCTACTGTACAGCATTATATTAGTAAACCTCCTCAACTATCGTGGTAATATCAATGAAAGTGGAAAGAAAAAAATAGAAAAAAAACAGAGAGGTGTTGCTTCAAAATCATATCGGAAAATATATTATTTTCACTAGTTAAAATTGGGTATGAGATTCTCTATTTCAAAATTTTTGTACTTATAATTTTAATACACTTCTAACTGTGTCTTTATATATATATATATATATATTTCAAAAATTCACATCATAATGTCATATGATTGAGAATACATTAAAAATAGAACAACAGGTGTCCATGGAATATCCTCAATGGTCAAATTTGTCAATAAGTTTCCCAAATCACCATGCTACAAGTGTTCATAAATCATTGCAGTAGGCCCTTAAAACAATGTTTAATTTATCAAACAAGTCCTTATTGACAGGAAGAAGAAAACAATTTATATCTCTATCTATCTATATATCTTAACTTAGTAAAGTAGCAATCAGCTGATTTAGGCCACATCGACATGGTGATTAGGCAGGGTTCAAGAAACAACCTATGTGAGACAAAAAAACATACACGTCTAAAGTTCTATGCTGATGGGTATTCTGAAACAAAGTATTCAGCTTCGAAAAACCAAACATATTACTCTGGAGAACATCCAAAAACAATCCAGAATGTCGCTACTAAAAATTTTGAAATTGGGTATGAAAATCAGTTTATCTGTGTAATTGCGAGAATTAATTCCTATGAAACCAAGTACCTGCCATCAGTTAAGAATAAAAATCAGCTATTTCAAAGAACTTCTATATCCAAAGACAAAATGAGAATTTTTATTAATTCATTCTTTTTTACATTAGTAAGAACAACAAGGATTTTCGCAAAAGGTTAAAAATCAACTTTTTGCTTTTTAACCTCTTGAGTCGCATTATATCTCTACTTTTTTACACGTTTTCTTTAAAAAAAAGTTTTAAAAAAAAAAATTCAAAAAACTAACTTTTAACCTACTTTCCAAATACAGGATGTCCCCTTGAAACTTGAAATAAATAGCCCTTTGAAAATGACAAGAGAAAAGTGTGGATAATCTTTACCATGCATAACCAAAACCAAAATTAATTTTACTTGCTATTTTTTCATAATTACAAATTAAAATATTGTACTTCAACTATCCCTGATTTGTACGAAAATGAAAACTTATGTGTGATTTATTAAAAAAAAAAAGAAGGGCAAATTACAAACACCCCTCGAGATTTGGTAAAAATACAGATTCCTCCTGAGGTTTGAGAAATTACAAATTGCCCCCTGAGGGTTAAATTTTCATAACAAATTAGGAAAAATTAGGGGAGAATCTGTATGAAAATAAAAATCTCAGGGGCAATTTGTTATGAAAATATAAACCTCAGGGGGTGGGATGTAATTTCTCAAATCTTAGGGAGAAATCTGTATTTTCACAAAATCTCGAGGGGTGTTTGTCATTTGTCCAAAAAAAAAAATCGTTAACTAGAAAAATAAAAGGTGAAATTGAAAATTTATGTGTGCTTACTAGTGTGTGTGGTTTTTATTTTTCAGACCATAAATGTGAAGGTGCAGTTGAGTCTCAGAGCATTTGCATTTTAAGTGGGAGATCGCAAGTCCTTGTCTCCAAAAAAAACAAACAAACAAACAAACAAATGTGATGTTTTTAATGTTTTCCATACCCTAGCCTTGCCACCTTCAAACTCATCAACAACACTTAAATTTGCCTCAGAAAAATACAAAACAAAAAGTCCTTCAACAAGAAGGAAGACACGTTTTCTGATCAACAAAAACTTAAAATTGCCTCAGAAGAAGTCAGAACAATACAAAACCAAAGTCCTTCAATAAGAAGGAAGGGAAAACAGCAAGTTTTCCGATCAGCAAAAGTAAAAACTTGCCTAAGAAAATTACAAAACCAAAGTCCTTTCAATAAAATGGGGAAAAATGCTAGGATGATGAAAGTTTATTCCCAAAGTCACTCCTAGAATGAAGTGGATGCTGTAAATTTAATATTGATGGATATGATTTTAAGGGTGGTTTGAAATGATACAAATAAGTGTATTTTTTGACTTTTTATGAAATATGAGTTGAGTATGGGTTGGGTTTAAAGTGATGGAATAGAGAAGTGATGTGACTTAAATAAAATAATATAATTTAAATAGAATAGTGACTTTTTAATTTTTTTAAAACACCCTAAATAAAGCCTTAATCTATAAATATATTACTCTAAATACTTTTCTCATAATTTTTCTGGTTGGTTGAAGAAGACAATAAAAACACACTGCTGTAGTGACCCATCTCCAATAAGTTTTGTTACTTTTTAATGCAGACTGTCGCCACGCGTGTACACGTGTATCCTATGAAGAAGCCACGAACTGATTGATTAATTATACATTAAAAAATAAGAAAAAGATCCGGACCCTTTTTCCCACCTCCTTGACCCTTCTCTTTTTAATTGGTCAAATTTTTTTTTTTTTCTTTCAACAGCAGTGATTGGAGGAGTGATTGGAGGAGGTCTCTATCAAAATCTTAAAAAATAAACTTTAAAATTAAACAAGTGTAAGTAGTCAAATTGACCACTGTAACCCAAAGTGTGAACATGGAAAAACATGACCCTAAAAGAGGAAAAAATTAATTTATATTACATATATTAGTCCGACCAAAAAGTTCATCTACGACAAAAATTAGGTGTAGGAAGTAGGAGACCATCTAGAGGTTATTAGTTGGTCTAACAATTACGTCATCTAATATTTTAAGTATATTGTGATTAGTGAAATTTATGATATTATGTTAAATTATTAAAAAATATGAGTGGACATAATGATTTGTGATTAGTCAAGAATATAATCTCATGTCACCTTTAAATCAATTAATAATTTTTTAAAGCCATCTTCGAGAAGCTTGTTCGACATTTGAAGGAAAGGAAGACCCACATCCATACACCAGGCTAACAAAGGGACTTCTTGGAAAAGTCCTCCTTCAACCGACAGACAACTTTATAAGGTCTGAAGTCCCAGGAAACTCCCATGAAGTGGACTATCATATAAAATTTAAAATTATAGTTTTTTTTTTTTTTAATAATAAAATTGATAAAAGTGATAAACTAATCCAATGCAGGTTGATGTCAAGACTTTGTGCGTCAACCTCTCAATTCAATCTCTCTAAAGAAAAAAAAGTAATAATAAAATTTTAGAAATAAATTCATTTCAATAATATAATATAAATATCCTAATCATAAATAACAAAAAAATTTATAACCGACACAGGAGTTACTAAGAAATGTTTGTAACCGTCAAGAGCTCAGTCGTCTAATGAGTTACGATTTTTTTTTTGTTTTATGAAAAAACAACAAATAGAAAATGATATCAAGATTCTCAATTTCAATCTTTAAACCGACTATTAAAAAAAGGCAACGCCTTGAATTTTGAACAAAAGCACCACAGAATAAAAATGCATAATATAATCAACAGTTCAATTTGATGTGTGCAACACAATTATAAAAAAGAAAAAAAAAATCACTTTTAAAAAGTCTCTTCTATTTTTTTTCACTGGCAAAACAATTTTATTTTTAACATTATTATATTTTACACACCTGATCAAAGATCAAGATTATGTTTTGCACCTTTGCATAATATTTTAAATTTCAAAAAAATAATAATAATTAAGAATTGCACTCCTTGTATCCCAAACAAAAACTTTAAAATATCAAAGAAAATATATTTTAAACTCTAGTCTATATATACACGAAAAATGCTTGGGAGTACTAATTAGTGCTCCCACTAATTAGGTGGGAGTGGGTCCCGTCATTAATGATGTGATGTTTTGGTCTTGGAGTTGTATTTTTTTTTTTTTTTACTTTTTTAATGTATTAGTGCTATTAGTAGTGATGTTTTTAATGGGATGAATACGGAGTAAAATAATGAAAAGAGACACCGTACACGTGTACTCTAAGCCCTGATCATCATAAAACCCATATCCCTATGCTTTTGTGGGCCTCCCGAGGGTCAAAAGAGGATCTAGGCCTAGTGGGGGCCAGAGGTTTAAAAAAATGAAAATTTTAAAAAAGTAAAAGTTATTTTAAAAATTTTTCTTTTAAAATTAATGAAGGTATAAAATTTATTTACATAATTGTAGTTTTGTTTGAGATTATATACTATTTTAGTAATTTTTTAATTTTTTTATAAAAAATAAAGAGAGTAATATGATAACTTATAACTTTATTTTACGAAGATGGTAAAAAATTAATTTTTAACTTTTTACTAAGTTTTTTGATTTTTTTAAAAAGTGATTTGAAAAATTAGTAAAAAGTTTCTTTTGATTTTTTTATTAATATTTATTTATAATATCACATCACAATAAAATGATCAAATTATCCTTAATTTAAAAAATTTATAATTTTACTTATATGACTTATTTTAATTCGTAGAGGGTATAATTATAATTTCACAAGTAACATATTTTTACCTCCTTAAATGATTTTAATGGCAAAATGGCGCTTTTTTAAAAGAATTGCAAAAGGCAACTTTTTTGGGAAGTTGCCAAAACAGGACATAGTAAATTTTTTTTTATTTTTTTATTAAAATTAAAAATGGTCAAACAAATCAATTGCACTTTTACACTTTCCATTTTTTTTATATTCTTCCTAAAAAAAAAATACGTGTGCGGTGCATGTAGAAGCGAGTAGAAAGCGCGTGTTGTACAAATAAATAATTACGTTTAATACGCGCGTTAGATTCGCGCGGGCTTAGAGTACAATTTTCAATAACGAAGAAAGAAGAAAAAAACGAACACCAACTGTTTTTTCGTCTGTTTCTCTCTCTCTCTCTCTCTCAAACGCAAACAAACCGTCACTAAAAAGTAAGGGCTGATAAATTTTTAACAGAAGAGGAGGAGGAGGACCGGTCCACCGATTTCTCCGGTGAAGGGCGCGTATTAAATAGCTCGAACTGATGTGACACCGGCTCACGCGCCGGAGAATATGAAATCCAATTTTTTCTTCATGGTCTCGTCCTCCGATAGTTTTTTTTAATGCGAAAAGGAAATTTTCATTATTATCAACTTTTGATTTCTCATGATTTTGTAGTTAAATCGAAGGAATCAAAAGTAAAATGAGACTCAATTAATAAAATTCAATGTTAACACTATATGTATATATGAATATGCAGAATGAGAGATTAGATTGAAAAACAGTGAATGTATACGTATTTAGGGGGAGAGAGAGAGAGAGAGAGAGAGGAACTTACAGATCCTTGAGGAACTCTGTGCAATAGCTTCAATTGCTTGCAAGAACTTGAAATGGAAGAAACGAAATTCAGAAGTGGAAGAACTTGAGAGAGAGTTTTAGAGAGAGAGAGAGAGTGAGAGTGAGAGAGAGAGAGAGATGCAGGAAAGGTAGGAGAGGGGGAGTGGAATGGAAAAGAGGAGGCATGAATTTATAGAGAAAGAAGGAGGAGGGTTTCAGGGTTTCCATCTGTTTTGTCAAATTGCTAATGGCGTGGTCCTGATCCTCTGTATTAATTAAATTTGGCAATAAAATCTGAAAGTTAATGCTTCCACCTCAAAAGGAAATATTCACGCACCACAAATCTTAGTACATATTATTTGTGATATTTGAATATAAATTTATTAAGGAAAGTTAAATATTCATACATAAATTATAAATTTTTTTTTTATTATTCGAATATGCATTCCATTTAAATATTTATGTCTGAGCAATTATTTTTTTTGGTTAATAAATTTATATCTAGATTATATAAATAGCGTGTATTGAAATTTTATTTGGTGTACACACAATCAAGATGGACCTATGGGGGGAGGGATGTGGTTGCACCCCAAAAAATAATAAAAATTATGACCGCCTTAGGCAAGAAGTAACTAAGTGAGTTTTTGGAAAGTTGTTATTTTAGTAGATTAAAATTTTTGGGTTTAGAAAGATAGTTGGATTATTTTGTAGTTGGATGTGATGCTTGTAAGAGAAAAAGTGAAATGATTATGGGTTTGATGTGACATTTTATCTTATTGACTATTTTAACTTATTTTGTGATTTCGTACATTTTAGCCCAAAAAGCCAAAAAAAACCTTTGCCAAAAGCATAAAATAGGCTAATTTAGTTAATAAGACAAAGTGGCTCATTCAAATTATAATTATTTTATTTTTTCTTTCACAATTATTACATCCAAATTAAAAAAAGTCAAAAATTTTTCCTAAGCAAGACTAATTTAGCCAAGCTAAATTAGCAAAAAAAAGTAAAAAAAAAAAGAAGATGCTAAATTAGCTCTTTTCAAACGATGGCTATATATATTATGAACAATGTTAAATCTACTTAAATTGTTACTAACAATCTTACTAAAAACATACATGTCACCACATTATTGGATATTTAAGTATCATTATTTTTTTTAACAACCAATCACATTTGGTCTCTTTGTATTTTTAGTAAGATTATTAGTATATATACAATTATTCATATATTGTACTAGTAATTAGTACTCATTCCGTCTCAAAATATTAGTTCATTTTCAAAAATTAAAGACTAAAATAATATGAATTTTTTTATTTTGCTCTTCTTTTAAATTCATTATTAATATTTTGAAGTGTAATAATTGTATTACCGTAGGGTAGTTTTGGAAAGTTCATATTTTAGAAATGTAGTAATTGTACTACCCCAAAAAATTAAAATTTTCAAAATGGATTAATATTTTGAAACGGAGGAAGTAAGCTAATTTTAATTTGAATGAGTCGAGGTGTGCGTAAACTAATCCGAACATACGATCATTAAAAAAAAGATAATTTTAAAAGATGAAAAGTTATATTTGTTTTTTGTCTCCAAAATTTGAATTATGATCAGTATTGTGTGTAAATAGAATTACTTCCCTCAATATAGCATCAACTCAAAATTACCAAAGTAGCCTTACTAATTACTACAAAATAAAATGTCGACTTTTTACTTGCTGCTGTACTTGATTAACGAGTAAGGTACGTCTTGCATGTAAGGCTACTTTGGTCATTTTGAATACTATTGCACTCTTCTTCTTGATTCTGGCTTGAGGATTTTGGGTGAATACTTTGTCAGCATATAAATACAAGAAGTCCAATATATGTTCCTTAATTTTTGTTGTTTATTAATGGATAAATTAAATTGGTGGTCCTTATATTTTACTCATATTTTAATTTTTATATTTTCAATTAATTTGATTTTGACCCTTAATTTTAAATTTTGGATCAATTTGGTCCAATTGATAATATCGTTAATATATTTTAAGAAAAACTATCATTAAATTAGTTGAAGTTAACTTATTGAGTTTTTTTGGTAAGTTTATAATTTTGCCTTTAAAAATATGGCATATGACACTTATATGTATATTTTTCATAAAAAAAATGTTAAGTTGCAACTAGAGCTATGCAAAATACTGTCTAATCTATTAAAACTGCATCGATCCGCATCAATCTGTATCATTTTATCCGCTAACGGTGGATTAACCTTTAAAATTTAGAATTTGCCTGTGAAACCGCTCTGTTCTGTTATAGTTAATAAATATATATTTTTTAACTTCTAATAAAATATCAAAGTAAAAAATGAGTGTAAAAGAGATTTAAGATGTAAAATTTGTTACAAATTAGTAGTTATATATGAAAAATATTATGTAAAATAAGTTTGAATTATATATATGAAAAATATTATGCAAATTAGCGTAATATATTATGTAAATGCTTGATTATTAGTTGAGAATATTTATCAATCCGTCAATCTACCCTAAACCGTTATTTGATTATTTGACAATCTGCAATTTGGTTTATAATTTTACTCTCAAACTACCCGAATGGCACCGGGCACACCCCTAGTTTTAACCAATCGAACTAAATTGAGATAAAATTATAAAGTCAATATTAAAATCGAGTCAATTGAAATTACATGAACAAAAATGATATAGAAACCAAAATACAGGAACTACTATTGTAATTTATCCTTTATTATTTTATTATTAGGGGAATTGACTAATTAATTTTGAATTGTTTTGGAAAGTGCTAAATAAATTAATTTTTTTGTTTATTACAAAAAGACGTATAAAAAGTAGAGAAATGATATGATTTAAAAAATCAAAAAATTAGTTTATAATCCACTTTTCAAAAAGGCCATCTATTTCTTTCAAAAATAAAATTAAAAATCATCGGGGTATGCTTGGTAGACAAGAATAAAATAAAGGGTAAAATTCATTTTACTTGATGTGGTTTGACGTGAAAGCACTTTATTTCCTTATAATTTAAATATAGACAGAAAGTCTCATGCAGTTTTGGACAAAAATACAATCATTAACACCGTTAATTATAGATGTGAAAAGATTATAATATCCTCAAATCCTACACATAATTTATAATGTTTATCATTAATTCAATTAAATCACAATAGTTACAAAATTTAAATTATGTATTATAATTCTTAACTTTTTATTCTAATTTTAATTTAGTCACATTTTGGATCACAAATTCACAATTAATCATAAATATTTAATTATCTAGTGTACTTCTTTACTTTTTAATCTAATTATATTTTATATCACAATTAAATCTAAATTCTAAATTATTTATTATTTTTTCAACATGTTAATTTAATTTTAATTTTAATTTAATCATATTTTAGTTCATTTTTAATTATTATTTAGTTTGTATTTTTATTTAATTATATTTTAAGTAAATTCTTAATTATATTTTATATTTTTATATTATATTTTATTTTAATCAACACATTTATCTAATTTTAGATTGGGAGAAAATTGGGATAAAATGATCCGTTTGTTGTATTAATTTCATTTTATTTTTTCAAAAAATTAAATCCAATCTAAAAAATGGTGTGTGTGATATACTATCTGAATGAAAAACATAACAATGACACTTCAGTCCAAAATTATATAGGAATTTTTTGGTTATATTTGAATCATAAGCAGATAAAATATTCTAACTCTAAATCATGAGAAAACAAAATGAATTTACCCCTAAAATAAAATGAGAACAAAATAAGAGTAGAAACAAAAAGAGAGTCTGAATAAAATACATGTTCACATTCTCTTGTTAGACTGCCGACATAAGAATAACGTGGTCATTAAATGATGATTTTTATCTTTATACTTTCCTAAATTGATGGTTTTTATCTTTATACTTTCCTAAATTGATGAATTAGAATAAGGGGTTGTTTGGGGTGTTCTAAATAAGTGTATTTTTTGTCTTTTTAGACTAAAAAGTTGGGGGAAAAAATATGAATGTTTGGATTAACTTTTTGACTTTTTATGAAAAAATGTGTATTAAAAAATTGCATAAATAAGTGTGTAGGAGAAGATAGGTAGGAGCCGTACGGAATGGCTGTGGTGGCTAGCTGGGTGAGTAGATGAAAAAATATTGTCTACTTCTCGGGCTTTGATTGAATGGTATTGTTTGGCCGGTGGGGACCCACCACAGGTCCCGTTTTTCTAATCGGAACCATTCAATGTGTAGAACTCATCAAGTACTACATACTTGTAAAAAATCACGTTGATTGGATATCGATAACTATCTGATCGTGTTAGTTTTCTTTGTCAACTGTTAACTATAATACCATCCAATTTTTATATAAAACTGATTTGATCATGTAGTTAGCGATATCCATAGATGTGATTTTTTACAGACATATAGTACTATACGAGTTTTACGTATTGAACGGTTCGGATTATCAAAACGAGACCCATGGTGGGTCCCCACAGGCCCAACTTTACCATGCAAATAAGTGAATGTACGCATGTTATTATTTTTTGTTTTTCCTTTTATTGCAAGTGGCTGACGTGTTCGTACGACAATGAGTTACAATATGCCCCGGCAGACTGGGATTCAATTGATTGGCCTCACTCACTGTGTATTCTACTTCCCATTTCGGATTCGACGCCAATTCGGCCATGATCAGACTTGCCCGCCAAAGGGGATAGAGTATCCTGCTGCATTCCCGGCCCGAGGCGCGCAGCTTGCCTGGCAGGCCACCGCGTGGAGGATGAGAGAACTTCTAGCCCCCGCTCCTACTTTCAGTTGCACTTTGTCTGATGAGTGCTTGGATTGGCTTAACGAGGAGGCACAAGTCGGACCCACCTTGGCGTCAGAGGCTTCGACCAGCTCTGGGGGGGGGCGCAGGGGCACCTGACTTGACCATGCCCCAGATTTATTACTCCCTCCGTCCCAAAATATTGGTCCCTTTTGGGGAATCCAACTTTTTTTGGTAGTACACTTATTGCATTTGAAAAAAGTTGGTTTTCCAAAATTACCCTTTTGATAGTACATTTTTTGGGAATATCAATGTCATAATTGTACTTTTTAAATTGTTTATTACTTTAACAGAAGGGCAAAATAGGAAATTTACATTATTTTTGTACTTGATTTATAAAGAGAGACTAATATTTTGGGACAATAAAAAATGGAATAAGGGACTAATATTTTGGGACGGAGGGAGTATAGATGTTTGGGTTAACTTTTTGACTTTTT